CTACCTGCACCCCATCCTGCGCCGGCAGAAGGTGGCTTACGGCATCTACATCATCAACCAGGTGAGGGGTGCGGGGGAGAGGGGTTGACAGGGCTGGGGTGGTCAGGCGGGCATCGCTGAGCTCTGCCCCGCAGTTTGGCGAGGACACCTTCAACCGGGCCAAGCTGCTCAACGTGGGGTTCCTGGAGGCCCTCAAGGATGATGAGGAGTATGACTGCTTCATCTTCAGTGACGTGGACCTCGTCCCCATGGACGACCGCAACCTCTATCGCTGCTATGAGCAGCCGCGGCACTTTGCTGTTGGCATGGACAAGTTTGGGTTCAGGTGGGTGCTCTGCGGGGCTGGGGTGCTTTTCTGGGCAGGGCTGGGATGACACCAGGGCCACCAACCTTTGGTGATCACCTGGGGCAGACGTGGGGTCGCTGGCTCTAATTGTGAATGTGGGACGGGAGAAGATGCAGAGCCCTGGTGGGAGGGTGACACAGGAAAGGGCTGGTGTTTGTCCCGGGGGGTTGCCATGGGGCTGACCCCCATCCCTGCCTGCCCCTGGGGGCTGACCTGTTTGCTGTCACCCCACAGGCTGCCCTACGCCGGCTACTTTGGTGGCGTCTCTGGGCTTAGCAAGTCCCAGTTCCTGAAGATCAACGGCTTTCCCAACGAGTATTGGGGCTGGGGAGGAGAGGACGATGACATCTTTAACCGGTAGGTGCCAACCCCTCATCAGCACTGGCTGGTTGGCGTGTGCTGGGGCTCCCCGCCGAGCACTGACCTGGCACCCTCACCAGCGCCGGGGCTCCCAGTTTTGCAGGAGAATGCACGGGGAATGCCACATGGTGGGGAGGGATTTCATTACCCTCCAACTTGAGGCTTGGTGACCCTCACAGATCGAACTGGCCCTTCCCAGGGTGTTGGGGTGGCCATGGGGCACCCATGTGCCTTCCTTGTGGCTGAACCCCCCCAGGGTGGGGCCCGGCGCCCTCCTGCTGCGGTGTGAGCTGGGCAGCACGCCTGCAGGCTCCACTCCAGGCCGGAGCTGGGATGCAAAACTTGTAAGCGTCTCGGTGGTGGCTGCCGTATAGAGGGAGGCCCCGAGGGAAGGGCCGGGCACCGGCATTTGGAGAATGTAAACAGCACAGGCTGGCCACAGCTGCTGGCCTGCGGAGCCAGAAGAGGTCTCTGGGTGGGAGCAGTGCTTTGGGCACGCTCTGCCGTGAGGCATGCGGCACCCTCAGTCGTGGCACTGGCCTGTCCGTGGTCTGGCTTTGCTCAGCTCAGCTTGGCTTGGCACAGCCCCGTTAAAGCAGGGATGGGTTTTACTTGGGCTAGGGCATGACCCCACAGGTCTCTGAGCTGGGAAATGTCCCACCCTGGTGCCCACACACTGATTTCCCCCTACTCCCGGCCCCCAGCATCTCCCTGAATGGCATGAAGGTGTCGAGGCCCGACATCCGCATTGGGAGGTACCGCATGATCAAGCACGAACGCGACAAACACAACGAGCCCAACCCGCAGAGGTGAGTGAGTCGCAGCAGACGGGGGCAGACGGGACGCTGGGTGGTCACTGGGCTGCCTCCAGCCACCGGCTCCCCTGCTCTGCTCACCCCCACTGAGTTTTGGCACTGCTAGCACCCCAGCAAGGTCCCCCACCCGCCCCCCTCCCCACATCATCCTGCTCCCATTTCCACCAGATTCACCAAGATCCAGAACACCAAAATGACGATGAAGCGGGATGGGATCAGCTCGCTGCAGTACCGGCTGGTGGAGGTCTCGCGCCAGCCCATGTACACCAACATCACGGTGGAGATCGGTAGGCCGCCCCCCCGCCTGGCCCGGGGCTAGTGCTTGCCCCGCCGGCAGAGCCACGGGGAGAAGGCTCTGTGCCCAGGCTGGCATGGCATGGCAGGTTTTGCCCCGGCTCGAGAGCCAGGACTGGACGGGGATGTTTTCTGCCTACTCTGCTGCCTTCTTGGAGACGGCTGCCCCCCAACCCGCCCCTTGGTCCCCAGGATTTCTCTGTCCCCTCCGTCCCCACGAGTGTGTTTGCAGGACCCCCGCCCCATACTCGCTGTGTCGGTGGACGAGCCCAGTTGCCCCACATGCGGCTCAAGGCACAGAGGGAGGGGCCAGCCC